CACCAGACGCCCCTTGAAATTCTCTACAAAATGGTTCAAAAACCAGCTCGAAAGCTCAATTTCGAAGCGAGTTATGCGCCTTTGAAAGTGGAGGCGAGAGAGTGAGAGACGCCAGAGAAAGAGACAGTTGCGCTTCTCTGCGTCTCTCACTCTCTCATCTCCAACTTTGAAGGCGCATAACTTGCTTCAGCATGGAGATTTTCAGATGGTTTTTTGACCATTTTGTAGGGAATTTCATGGGCTTTCTGGGGAACACGAAATTTATTCAGAAAGAAAATTATTGAAATTTTTGAGTTACAGACCAAAATTGTGCTCATTGGGCCACAGTCCCCCCTTTCAAAATTTTCAATAATTTTCAATTTGAATAAATTTAGTATCACCAGAAAACCCACAAAATTCCCTCTTGAATGGTCCAAAAACCAGCTCAGTAGCTAAATTTGAAAGCGAGTTATGCGCCTTTAAAGTTGGATGTCATAGAATGAGAGGCGGCAGAGAAAACTACTCCCTCTTTCTCTGCGCCTCTCACTCTCTCACCTCCAACTTAAAAGGCACATAACTCGCGACAAAATGGAGCTTTAGAGCTGGTTTTTGGACCATTTTGTAGGAAACTTCAAGGTCTATCCGGCGATTGAAAAAATTTTGCAAAAAAAACAAAAAAAAAATTTTTTTTTTAATAAATGCGATTTTTTTTTGGAATTTTCTCTCTTGAATTTGGGAACAATTTTTCGATTTTTCTGTGACATTTTGTTTCCCGAAATCCTAAAGTTCTAGAACAAAAAACCATACCAAAAAGTGCTTCAAAATTAGAATTTTTCATTAGAAAAACTCACCTCAAAACTCCAACCAACGCAGTGAAAATTGACAATTCTATTATCATTTTTTTGTTTCTGAAACAAAAAATTTTTTCAAATCGAAATTGCATAAATAACAAAAAAATAACGGTAAGCAAGCAAAAATTTCCTAATTATATATATATTTTCGAAAAAATGGGCGATAAGGAAGTGAAAAAAAGTTAAAAATCAGAAAAAATGTCCTGCCAAAACAACGACTGAAATCTAGTTTTTTTTTTGAAAATTGAATTGAAAAATAAAAATAGATTCCGAAAAAAACAAAAAACAAAAAAAAACCAGCAAAAAAATGAAATTTGGTCTCCATCCCCTTCTCCTCCTCCCTTATTTATATACTCCCTCCCCCTCCCCCAATTCACTCTGTTTACCTATTTCTTCTTATCGACCAAACTTCCACCAGCGACCAACATCAAGAAACAAATCAGAATTTGGTCACAAAATAAAAAATGTCTACATCTCTAATCCTCCATTTCCCAGTTATCTCTACATTTTTTGATTTGTGGAGAGAACAGTCACAGGTGGGGTTTATATGACCGGGTACTACTGGATAGGTACTTTTTTTGTGATGCAAATTTTACAGGGAACAAGGTGATGTCAGACACTAGGTTATAGTCATTAACCTAGTTCTGAATCTTGATTGGGAAATTGAGGACATCTTATGGGGCGCCTCCGGCGTTTCAGCAGCATTGACATATTTTAGAGGTCCATTTGTTCAGAACAGTATATCTCGGTTGGTTTTGGAAATTTCAAAAAGTGGTCAACTATTAAAATGTTCATAAAAAAGTTTTGAACATTTTATTAGTTGAAAACTTTTTCATAGCTTCAAAGAAAACTGAGATATGCTGCCATGAACATACCGTACTTTTTATACAGTAAATCCTGTAATAGAGACGTCTATTCTAGCAATTCAGCAAGTTTGGTGTAAAACTCTGTACAGATATCATTTTGGGAATTGCCGAAAAATCTGGGCGGGGCTTATGGCAAAGATGGGCGGTTCAAATACCCGACTCACATTCCAAGATTTTCCAAGATTTAAATAAAAATTGATGTACCATTCAATTGTTTTTTTGAGAAATCGACAGGTGTGCTAAATTTAGATATCCGGACAGATAGACTGACAAACAGCTTATATCCTCTAAAAAATCGCTGAAAAATGGTCCGAAAACCAGCTTTTCAGCTCAATTTGAAGCGAGTTATGCTAATAGAGAGATTCCTTCAAAAATTTCAAAAAATTTAATTTTGAATAAATTTTGTATCCCCAGAAAGCCCATAAAATTCCCTCCTAAACGGTCGAAAAACCGATCTAAAATCTTTATTTTTAAGCGAGTTATGCGCCTTTAAAGTTGGAGATGAGAGAGTGAGAGACGGCAGGGAAAACGACTGTCTCCGTTTTCTCTGCTGTCTCTCACTCTCTCGCCTCCAACTTCAAAAGCGCCTAACTCCCTTCAAAATGACGATTTTGAGCTCATTTTTTGACTATTGTGTAGAGAAGTTCAAGGCGCATCTACCTATGTGAAAATCGAGAAGATTTATATTAGTCGTGGTTTTTTTTCGAAAATGAGTATCGATGGTTCTTATTCCTAATATTTGATAATTCTAATACAGCTCTAAAAATCTGACGAATCTGAAAAATTCTCTTCAATTTGATCCAAAAACCATCTCAAAATCTTCATTTTGAAGTAAGTTATGCGCCTTTGAAGTTGGATGTGAGAGAGTGAGAGACAGCAGAGAAAACGACTGTCTCTTTCTCTGGCGTCTCTCACTCTCTCATCTCCGACTTTAACAGGGCGATTTTAGCAGAGGGAAGAGCACCAAATTTTTGGACTGTTTGATTTAAAAAAAAATAAAAATATTCAAAACAGGCTGACATGGCGTGACCTTTCAAGATTTTTCGAGAAAATAATGAAAACGTGGCAGTAACAATAATTTCTTCCACGTACTCCATTTCTAAAAGCCCTTCCCCAATGGATATCCACACGCTCAACTCGGCGGAAATCAAAGAATTCGGAAGTCTATACCAGGAGAAACTGAAACAAGAATATGAACTGATTGATCTGTACAATACGCTCGAATCGAACTACAAAAAACGGAAAAACGTCAAAAATATGAGCAAAAAACGACTGGCGGAGATGTGGGCGACGTTCGTGGACACCCGCGAGAAGAAGATCGAAGCTGAGATGGAGGCGGCCAGGTCGGAGAGAATTCTCGAGAAGCTGCAGGAAAGAGGTGATGAGTTGGGTGTGTTGATTGAGGTTAGTAGATCAAAAAATTCCTTATTGATTGGTATCAGAGAAATGTTGGCCAAAAACCTCAAAAATCAAAAAAAAATTAAATTTTTTACGGGAAATTTTGGTTTTTTGAATTTTCAGAGCACATTTTCTGAGACAAATCAATGTGATATTTATACGAATCGGTAGATCAAAAAATTCTCTATCGATTGGTGTATATATCATATACGTTTGTAGCAGAAAAGAGCCTCTCAAGTTTTGAATTTTTTGGTTTTTCGGGTTTTTGACTCTGGCGGGCTCATTTTTGCACATTTTTAGCCCGTTAAGCAAAAAAGTGTTAATCGAAAAAATCTTTATCAATTGACATGAAAATCCCTAGAGTAGTAGCAAAAAATATCCTTCAAAAACTGAAAAAATCACAAAAAATGGGTGTTTCTGGTTTTTTTTGTTTTGTACCCAATTTTTTCGGTATAGGCCTATGTGATATTTGTACCAACCGGTAGATCAAAAAATTCTCTATCGATTGCTATCAATTTCATGAAGGTTTCAGCTGAAAATTTGGTCCGAAAACCTCAAAAGTCCAAAAAAATTCAAATTTCAGTGAAAAAATGTTGTTTTGAGTATTTGGACCCAATTTTTTCAGTACAACCCTATATGATATTTAAACCAATCGATAGATCAAAAAATTCTCTATCGATTGGTATAAATATCACCTAGGATCGTGCCCCAAACCGTCTATAAACCTGAGAAAAACTGAAAAAAATCAGTTTTTTTGAGTTTTCGAAACCTAATTTCTAGTTCAAGATCAAACAATTACCTCCCAATCTTATATTTCTTCCAGGACGGCTGGATTCCACGTGTCAAACAAATGCATCGTCACGTTCGTCGCTTCATTCGATATGAGTTGGGAATTCCGGAAATGGTGGTCTGGACCTTGTTGATTCTTATAGTTTCCTCTGTTTATTTTTACTACTTTTGTTAGAAATAAAATTTTGGGTTTACAGCTATTTGAAAAATTTCAAAAAAAAATTAGAAAAAAAGTTTTCCGACCTATAAAATCTTCTCGAAATTCCCTACAAAATAATCAAAAAACCATTCGAAAATCTCAATTCTGAAGCGAGTTATGCGCCTTTGAAGTTGGAGGTGAGAGGGTGAGAGGCGGCAGAGAAAACGACTGTCTCTTTCTCTGCGCCTCTCGCTCTCTCGCCTCCAATTTTGAAGGCGCATAACTCGCTTCAAAATGAAGATTTTGAGATATTTATTAGATCATTTTGTAGGAAATTTCAAAGGCAATCAGGTGAGGAATTTTTTCTTGCGTGAAAAAAATGTCAAAATATGCTTTTTTTTTGGAATTTTCTCTGTAGAATTTGGAATCGATTTTCTAATTTTCAATGAATATTTTTTCTAAAAATTTTTAAACACAAAGCGTTAAAAATTCCCTACAAAATGGTCCAAAAACGAGCTGTAAATCTCGATTTTGAAGCGATTTAAGCGCCTTCGAAGTTGGAGGTGAGAGGGTGAGAGACTCAGAGAAAGAGACAGTCGTTATGTCTGACGTCCTTAACTCTCTCGCTCCTTTCAGAAATGTGCTTTCCACGTGAACTTTTTTCCATCAAATTTCAAATTTTTCAAATAAAAAAAATTGTTATTTTTACCGTAACCCGCCCTGTCCCCTACCCCCAATAGATCCTTATCTAGGCTCCTCCCACTTTTTTCGTATAAATTCTCGGGGGTATTTTTCAATCGATCAATCAAAATCGATTCAAGCTTTTGTGACGTTGACTCCATCAAAAGCTTAGAAGCGGCATATTTTAAAACAATTCCCGGCGTCCGGAAAACTGACAATGATCATCGACGCGTTGCTGTTGGTTATCTACCTGGTTGTGGGTGTTGGTGAGTTGGGAGAAAAGAAAAAAAAGTTTTGCCACCGGGGGGATCGAACCCGGGACCCCTGGATCCAAAGGCAAGAGCGTTAGCCAGTGCGCCACCGCGCGCCATGAGGGAGGGGAGGGAGAGGGGGTAGAGGAGACTGCGCCTTTTCTCTCTCTCTCTCTTTCTCTCTCTCTCCCTTTCTCTCTCTTCCACCTCCCAATTTTCAGCCACCATGCAAATGTGCTCCAAGAAGAAAAAGCCAGTGGCAAAATCTCGCGGCGACGTCCCGATGAGTGGATTCGGCACCACTACAATGGGTGCAGAGCCACCGGCTCCAGCCCCGGCTCCCAGTCTCCCGGATCCTGGAGCATCCTCTCAGATGAAGAAGCCAACTGAGGAGAAGAAGGACTCCAAAGAGGAGAAGAAGGAGGAGGAAAAGAAGAAGGATAGTGGAGAAGGTGAGAAGAAGGAGGATGGAGCAGGAGCAGGAGGAGAGAAAAAGGAGGAGGAAGTTCCACCGAAAAAGGATGAGAAGAGTAATAAGAAGAGTAAAAAAACGGAGAAATCCAAAAAGGAAAAGAAGGAGGAGGAGGTGAAGAAGGAGGAGTCGAAGAAGGAGAAGAAGGAGCTGGCGCCAAAAGTGATCCCGTTGACCGCCAAGGAACAGGAGATTGCAAACGGATTGAAGGTGGATCGTAAGGCCTATCAGACGATGAACGATGTGCAGAGCGATTGGGACTCTTTTGTGAGTTTTTTTTTCTTATCGGATAGCGGAAGGAATTCCCTACAATTTGGTCAAAAAACCATCCAAAAAACTCTATTTTGAAGTGAGTTACGCAGTTTTGAAGTTGGAGGTGAAAGAACGAGAGACGGCAGAGAAAAAGACAGTCGTTTTCTCTGGTGTCTCTCACTCTCTCACCTCCAGCTTGAAAGGCGCGTAACTCGCTTCAAAATCAGGCTTTTGAGCTGGTTTTTTGACTATTTTGTAGGGAATTTCAAGGTCTATCCGGCGAGTGAGGTTTTTTCCAGAAATTTTTTTTCAAGTTTTGGAAAAATTTTGCTTCATTGGCATCGAAATGCGCTTTATTTTCTTCAATTTCTGGGGGGTTCTCTGTCGAATTTGGGATCGATTTTTTTTTAAACTGTTTTTTGTTTATTTCTCCTAAAGTATTGAACAAAAAAGCAAATTTTGATGCCAAAAAACAAAAATTCTGAAAAACTCAAAAAAAAATTCTGGGCAAAACTTCATTCACCTGATAGACCTTGAAATTCCCTACAAAACGGTCAAAAAACCATCCCAAAGGCTCCATCTTGAAGCGAGTTACGCGCCTTCAAAGTTTGAGGTGAGAGAGCGAGAGGCGACAGAGAAAACGACTTTCTCGTTCTCTGTCGTCTCTCACTCTCTCACCTCCAACTTTAAAGGCGCATAACTCGCTTCAAAGTTGAGCTTTCAGACTGGTTTTTGAACCATTTCGTAGCAAATTTCAAGATTTTTCTAACCACAAATTTTCCAGAAAGAGAAGAAGAAGAAGGCGTCGAAGGATGAGGATGAGGAGAACAAGAAGGATGAAGGAGGGGAGAAGAAGGATGAAAAGAAGGAGGACGGGGAGAAGAAGGAGGAAGAGAAAAAGGATGAGGGAGAGAAAAAAGAAGAGGAAAAGAAGGAGGAATAATTCCCTTTTTTTCCCATTGAACTCATTTACGAATTGTGCTATTTTCTATGGATATAGATAGAATGAAGAATATTTTTTTTGTAATTTTCAATTTTTATTCTGAGCAATAGCCCTGTAACTCTGGAATTTCATTTTCAGACTCTTCTAGATTGCCTGTGCTTATGGAAAAAATTTCAGAGCTCTAGGAGCATTTTGGGCGGAGTTATGGCTCTAGAAAGTGGGTGCTGGGCATTGCTCAGAATAAAAACTGATCAATGTGTCCCCCCATTATCAAATCAGAAAACCGTGCACACCGACCCACTCATCGTTCTCCAAATCACAAAAACTACCAGTACCCGACACTTGTTTCCATCAGTATGTGCTAGGTTTTCTGACTTTTTTGCGTTAGGTGAGGGGGTATATAAACAGACAGGTTGGTCGACGGAAAGCATTGTGTACTCAAAAAAAGTTATGGTTTTTGTTATCTTGGTCACTATTTTGACAGCGTTTGTTGGAGTGTTAAGGTAAGTTTTGATTTTTTTTTTGGTTACTTTAGGTTACTGTAGATTTCTGTAGGTTACTGTAGACTACTGTAGCTATTGACTCCTGTACCTTCAAGGTCCTGTTTTTTCTGGATTACTGTAGATTCGGCCTCCTGTAACTCATTATTTCCAGCTACTTTCTCTATCACTGGTCGTTTTGGATCCGACGTGGAGTGCCCGGTCCACGTGGATTTCCAATAATTGGAATATGCAATATCACTTACAATGGGGACTATCCGCCGTTTTTGAGGATCAAGGAGTGGGGAAAGGTAGGATTTTTCGGCCTCGAAATCCTATTCAAAATGGTCCAAAAAACATCTCAATTAGTCCACTTTGAAGCTAGTTATGCGCCCTTGAAGTTTAAGGTGAGAGAGTGAGAGGCGGCAGAGAAGCAGACAGTCGTTTTCTATGGCGTCTCTTACTCTATCGCCACTAACTTTAAAAGCGCATAACTCTCTTCAAAGTTGAGCTATTGAGATGGTTTTTTACTGTTTTGTAGAGGATTCTGAGGACTTTCTGTTTCAAACGGATTCCGCCAATTTAGAGTCGTATTGTTTTTTAATTTTTTTCTTTTTTGAAAAAGGTAATTGACTCTATCAGATGCGCCTTGAAAAATGCTTCAAAATGCTCTATAAATCAGGTGTAAATCATCCATTTGGAAAGAGTTATGAGCATTTCAAGTTGGAGGTGAGAGAGTGAGAGAGTGCAGAGAAGCTTGACTGTCTGCTTCTCTGCCGCCTCTCACTCTCTCAGCTCCAACTTTAAAGGCGCATAACTCTCTCCAGAATTGAGCTTTCGAGCTGGTTTTTGGACCGTTTTGTAGAGAATTCCCAAGAATTCCCGATTTTGACCAATTTTCCCAATTTTTTTTTTGACCAATTTTTCCCGGTTTTTTTTCTGATTTTTTGCTTTTTAAATAATTTTCTTGTATTTTACAGGACTAGATGCGCCTTGAAAAATTCTCTAAAACGCTCTATTAGAGAGACGCTCCATCCAAAAACTCAATTTTGAAGCGAGTTATGCGCCTTTAAAGTTGGAGGTGAGAGAGGGAGAGACGTCAGAGAAAACGACTGTCTGCTTCTCTGCCGCCTCTCGCTCTCTCGCCTCCAACTTTGAAGGCGCCTAACTTGCTTCGAAATCGAGATTTTGATCTGGTTTTTGAACTAATCTGTGAAAAATTTTAAGAAGTTTCAAGTCTGGAACTAGCCACTTTTCCAGAAATACGGTCCAATATTCGGATTCACCGAAGGCATCAAGAAGACATTAGTGATATCTGATCCAGACTTGGTCCAAGAAGTGTTCGTGAAGCAATTCGACAATTTCTATGGACGAAAGTTGAATGCAATTCATGGAGATCCAGAAAAGGACAAGAGGGTCAGCTTGTTTGCAGCTCAGGGGTATAAGTGGAAGAGGCTGAGGACGATTTCCAGTCCAACGTTCTCGAATAACAGTTTGAGGTGAGCAACTTCAAGGGACATGTACCTTTAAGGTTTGCGGATTTTCTAGAAAAGTCACCTCGACGATTGAAGAATGTGCATTGGAGTTGGTGAGACATATTGAAGAGCATACTGCAGGTGGAGAGCAGATTGATATGTTACAGTAAGTGGGGATGTTCAGACAGACAGATAAACAGACAGATAGACAGAGAGATAGACAGATAGACAGACAAACGGACAGACAGGTGTGCAGACCAACAAACTCACTTTTTTTTCTACAAAACGGTCCAAAAACTAGCTCAAAAGCTCCATTTAGAAGCGAGTTACGTGCCTTTGAAGTTGGAGGAGAGAGAGTGAGAGACGCAGAGACATAGAGGGTCGTTTTCTCTGCCGTCTAACACTCTCTCACCTCCATATTCGAAAACGCGTAACTCGCTTCAAAGTTGAGCTTTTCAGCTGGTTTTTGGACTGTTTTGAAGCGAATTTGAGAAGCTTTCCAGTGAGATAAGGTTCTGTCAGATTTTTCTGCATCGGAACAGCAGGACTGTCGAAAAAAAATAACGTACCTTCAATCCGAAACATTTTCAAATTTGATATCACGAAAAAGCCTGCAAAATTTGTTGCCAAATGGTCCAAAAACCAACTCAAGGCCTTCATTTTGAAGTCAGTTACGCG